GACAATTAATTCACCGACAAGTTCATTTCACCGACAATTAATTCACCGACAAGTTCATTTCACCGACAAGTTTTTTTATAAACTACACTAACCTTAACTCTAATTCTGGCCTGACATTAACGGCAATGGCCAGAATTACTTTGTCTGTGAAATGAGCTGTCGGCGAAATAATTGTCGATGAAATGAACTTGTCGGTGACCACCCACATGTGGCAACATGACGAAATAATACAGTAGTATTAGAATTTTCAATCGTTGGGATTTTAGCAGTCGGGATTATGACCTGCCGTAATTTTTGTTTGTCGGGATTTGGCTCGCACTTCTTTTCACATTATGAGGTAAGAAATTCTAACACCGCCACAGAAGTGGTCAAAATTCCAGGAAGGCCGGACGTATCTGATTCAAAGGTTATACTGGATTAACTTAAGGACCAATATGAAGTAATCTACGAATCGGAACATGTGTTAACAGAAGCCTAGACAAAGTTTCGTCAGAAGAGAATAAAATTTTAAAAAGACAATTACCAAGAAGGAAATCAGCCGAATTATCTATTCCCTCCCCAGAAACAAGGCTGCGGGCGCAAATGACGGTTCATATAAGTTTCTATAAAGAATTTGAAGAAGAAATCAGCAATTTGATAGAAAAATTATTCAATGAAGTTTTTTTTGTCTGTGAAATCGTAGCAGGTTCATCTCTTAGTAGGGCCGATGATTTTCTGCGGTGATATTTATTTATTTTTAAAAATAAATAAATATCACCGCAGAAAATCATCGGCCTTGTCTATTAGTTCCTTTTATCATAACGAATCGAATTAAAAGAGAAATGAAGACTATACACTATAAAACGAAAAAAGGAACTAAGGCAAGAGAAACCCTGCACTGTCACTTAATAATTAATCTAAATTAATAATGATAACATCACATGTGTATTGTATTCTAAAAAAATAAGGGTGGAAAATGACACTATATGTAATGTATTGTAATTAAGACAAGAGTCAATAAAGATACGCTTCGAAGCGTCCCGGATAAAAAAAAATTTTGCATCTCGTGTATTGTCCAAAGGAAATTTGAAGAAATCTCAGATTATTTACCTCTATCCTACTAGCACATGTGGATAACACACGTGATGTGCATTTCGCATGGCAAAACTTACAACTTTAATACTTCTACACTTATTTTTTTTGATACACTAAAATGCATCCTAAAACTTCTTCACTTTTTGATACTGTTCATTACTTATTGTCCGAAAGACTCCATGTCTGCTCCAAATCATGCAATGGCCGTTGACGGCGGCCAATTAATTTTCTGATCAGGTGACACTGCATATTCCTTTGATATAATTGCTTCGGACATCTATTAGCTCCTGATAACCTACAATAGTATTATGTGCAAATTACAATTTGAATATTAAGAAATATAACTCAAAAAAAACAACTTACCACTTAATGCAAAGTGATAGTAGATCACTTAACGAGACGAATAGCAGCCACACGACTTCGCCCCATAATGCCATTATAGGTAAGACCAAAGCTTATGAGAATCAGAAGATGGCGTTAAAAGAGGGTGTCTGGTGTACGATGATCAAAAATTAATATGGTTAACGACAATGGAACATGCACGAAATAAAGAAACAATAAAGTATAAATAACAGACACGACGAAGCCAGGCTCACAAGTGCTTCTTGAAGGAAATTCGCGCGACCGTGTAATGGGCAGGCACGTGATTCTATCATTTCATCACTTGAATTCTTCATTATAAAAAATTTGTTTGAATATTTCCATTTTATCTCTTAATTTCTGTAAAAACTCCGTGAATCTGCAACATGATATAGTAGACCGAATAATTTCCGTCATCTGAAGGTATAAATTCCATAAATATGCAACATTTATGGATAAACATGGAATATAAAACACGGATTACCTTTTTTTATAGGGCTTCACTCACACCCGGCTTGTTTCGGCAAGCGTGGAATAACCGCACCGGCTACAATAATCCTGCAGTGACTCCCAGCTACTGATGAGCAAATTAGCCTTTTTTTAAATGTCATGCGCATGGAATTCTGGCCGCATTATGGTAGCTTGCTGCTAATGCGGGGCAGAATTATGAGATTCCGAAATATTCCCATGTGCTATTCCCAGGCAGGCGTGAACCCACCGGCTATGACCATCAATCACTTCTGACAACTTTCAATAAAAATCACTTCCAGTCAAAGTGTGTCGTGTAATGCGAAACTTTTTTGCATTTTGAAATGATATTTGTATGACGAGTTTTTTTTTAAACTTATTTTGGGTGTGATTAATGTTTATTTTTTTTAATGTAAGAAATTTTAATGAAAGCTTCATTCACATAATAAATATTTCATCGTTCGTGTAACAAATGGGTAGCGTGAACCCCTTATATCACATTTCTACATGTAATATCCCCCTTAAATATTCAGTTTTTACTAATTTACCCCCAGGTTTCTGATTGGCTAGATTTGTTTACATGTCATCTTCTTTTTAAAATATGACGC